GTCCTTGATAAAGCTTGGGGAAGCTTGAGGTAGAATTTAGTCCCTTGCCTACACCAGTGAGGTAGCTCAAAATGTTATTCTGCAACAGTGGCCTCTTATGAGTATAATAAAGGTTTCTAATGTCTTCTGTCTCCAAGCCCACTCTACTCTGAACCATATTGAACAGGAACACCTGGAGGACATCCGAAAAAGGGTGTTCCCATGCCACCCCCCAGACGGAGTCATCGCCCCTGTGCCAGACTGTGGTGAGAGTTTTACCTGCATTCGTTCATCTATTATCACCCCGGTAGTATCCCTGCTTCTGAAACCCAGAAAGGTTTCATGGCTAGTAAATAGCAGGACAGGCTCTGTGGGCACGGTGCTTAGCAGTGTGATACACTGCTTTCAGCCTGGTGTTTGGTAACTATGTTAGAGCTAGGTCCACGGGCCTAATTCCGAGAGGACAGGTTTTTTCTGGTTCCTGTTATCAGGTGATATGATTTCTATGAATTGCTGGCCTAGATTAAGGAAATAGTTCACCTTCCGCGCTATGAATGCTGGGATGCATGTCACTGAGCTCCTCGCTGAAGATTCCTTTGGCATCTGAGTGAAGTTGAGACTCCGGCCTAGGTTCCCAAACTTATTTGGCCCACGGCCCCCTTTGCAGGAAAACACGACTCCGCGCCCCTTTAGCAATTAACATTGTTCACAGTATAGGCCATAATCCAGCATAAAGTGTAGCATCTACTTTTGCTGCTTCCCTTGTTGCAGCACCTCCTTACCCCCAGGGGGCAGTATTGTCCACTTTTGGAAACCTTGCTTTAGTTTAGAAGTTTAGAGGTACATAACTCATATCTGGAAACCTATGGCTGGCACATCGTTAAGGGTAAACATGATGCCTGTTGTGAGGCCAAGCATGAACAGTCTCCATGGGAGTGAGCCATGGTACCTACCTCTGGCTGGCTCCACACTGCCAACCTCTGGGAACCCTTTTTCTATGGTTTATAGGGGAGTCTCTTTAGATTACACCATCCTTGTCCAGGAGCTTGCTGCACACTCAGGGTTCTGATAGTCCCTGTCAGTTCATGAGATAAATTGTGTCCTTAGGTGAGTAGAAGTGCTTCAAGGGATGAATAGCCATTGGTCGATGTGCTAAAAAGGCTGGGCTAACGGTTGGCTCCCTGCTTCATCTTGCTTCCCAGTGAGCACACTGACATTTCATTTCGGCACAATGACAATGGAGCTTGGGATACTTAGGGTACTTACACAGTCCTGGGGTCATTCCCCCCCCAGGGATGGGCAGCTATCTGAAACCCACTGTTCCATACAGTGGAGGCCTGGGCAGGTTAGGAGAGAATTTTCTTTCCCCCCATTTATGGAAGAGTTGCAATGTCAGCTTAAATTGAGGGAAAATGTCCTTATTACTCACCAATAAAACAACAAAAACAAAGCTTAATTTGCATTCTGTGAGAACTTGAAGGAGCTAACACCTCTCCTACTAGTCTGGAAAGACAGGAGGATGCTTTTCTAATCAAAATACAGCCGGAAACACGTCCTTCCTAGGCGTGAGCAAAGGCAGTGCCCGCGTCCCGCTCGATCTCACATGGTTGGCAGTGACGTGGCGTCAGATCAGTGACGTCCCGCTCACACCGAGCAGCTGTAGGCAGTGCATTCTTGCCACTAGTCGCTGAGGTGAGTGAAAATATTGAAAACCAACAGCATTCCCTCTTCCTGGGATTCATGGAAAATCTGAAAATTCACTTGAGATGGCATTTCAGAAACAGAGAGATGATTGCTAAAGTTTTGAGTCCAGGTGTGAACAGATTATTTAGTTATCAGATTCAAGCCGTAGCTTAAAATGTGTATTTTAAGTTTTTTGGAAATGTCATACTTTGTACTGTACTCTACTTTTTACAATTAGAAAGCACACATTGAAATAGATATATGGTTAATTTCACAATGGTTGGATTTCTTGAACACCTTGCCAAGTGCTGGTTACATTTTTGGTCAATTGTACCTGGATCCTAGTGAGCAGTTTCTCGAGATTAAAAAAAAAAAATATATATATATATATATATTGCTGAGAAGCTGTGAAGAGTGAAATTTATTACACTGATTCGAATAATTCCCTAAGAACCATCTAGCATGATGTTGGGAAGAGTCATGCAGTTGCTTATATCTTGACAGATCCCAAGGGGGCCGGGAGAAGACTTAGCTACAGCCCATCACCTTCTACTGCACCAACATCTTTTGGTTTTTCTCTTTCCAGCTCAAGTATTTGACAGGATCAAAATTATTCAGAAGACTGGGTTCTCACTGAATTAATTAAGCTTAATGAACACAAAGCAAAGCATATAAATCAAGCCTCTGGAGAGATAACAATGAGAAATAAATTAAATTAAGATGAAGTGTTAAAAAAGAAAAGGAGAATGGAATAATTCAGTCTCATAGCAAAGGGTCTGTTAGATTAATGTCATCAATAACTGTTGTGGAGAACCCTGTGTTCCCGGTGAACTTTTACTGCAAGGGTGCTCTGTGTTTGGGGCTTTAGCATACTTGCCATTCTCTGCTCTGTGTGTCTCTATGTTTTTCCTGCATGGTGCACACAGCTGTGTCTACACTTCTGTGTGCCGTTCTAAATGGTTACGTGTCCAAAGAGACATGCAGTAGAAATGTCCTCTGTGATACACGTGCAGCACGTTAGCCTGCAGTTCCCGTCCCAGATGAAGGGCCTGTTCATTCTAACACAGTCTTTAACATCCTGCCAACTGGCCTGAGCGCCAGCATGGGCAGATGGACACGACTCGGGGAGGCAACCAATCAGGGAGGAGGAGAGGGCTCTGCAGCAGATTAAAGAGTTTTGAAGCCTGGGGGCTTTGTCCTCTCACTGTCCACGCAGCCTGTCCCCTCACCAAGGCTAATTGGGTTGGCTCAGCTTCTTCCTCTACTGCCCAAAGCCCTTCCGTTGCCCTTTGTGACCTATTTTCGCCTCTGTGCTACTTGTGATGTGACCTGGTTTTGCCTCATTGAAGGAACTGGGTGCAAACAAAGCAAGTTGTCATGGAGTTGACGCTGATGCAAAGTGGAGCTGTGACATGGAAGTGGACTGACAGGCTTTCCTGCTGAGGCACCTCTGAGCGGGCTCAAAGAGCTAGGTTTTTTGGTCGGTAGCTAGGAACGTAACTGTTTGCACCACCCAGGGACTCTTCTAGGCCCGAGAGATGGCTTTAGCCTACAGACTATCACAGTGGTATTCAAGAAGAAATGGGGTGAAACAAAAAATCCTATAGGCAAAAACTAGATTTCTCAAGCATAAGGGAACACTTCAGTTAGTTCTTGGGTGGAAAATCACTTGGTAAAGGACAAGCAATCACAGCACCAGTGAGAAGTTGTGGTTCTGGGTTCTGAAGTCCCTCCCTGGGCTTGAAACCTGAGCCACTGCTCCCAAAGGTGTGTGACTCATGCAACTGGCCTCAGTTTCCTGAGCTGCCTCTGAGGGTTGCGAGAATAAAATGAGTTAATCCATGTAAAGTGCTTGGGAGAGTGTTTAGTTTGGGGAAATAGTGCTAAGCATTTTTCTTACTGTAACAAAGCATTTTTTTATTCATAATACATGAATTGCGTAAAAACAAATTAAGGTAGCTTCTAAAGCAGGACAGATTAAATGGAAAAGATAATTGAGAATAAAAGAGAGTCAAAGGCTCTGAGGAGGATGAAAGAAGTCAATGCAGGAAGCACTGGGCCAAGTTTAACTATGTGCAGGACCCCAAGGATACCCCCTAAAGCTTGAGGGGTTATATGGATTTCTCTGTCTGGCAAAGGGAAAAGTAGATTTCTTTTGTAAGTAACAACTTTTTTTCTTTAAGCATGGACTTCCCAGATATGTATGTTTAAATCCGGAGGGGCAAAGAGCAAATCAATTTCATTAAACAAAAGCAGAAAATGGAAAATTACAGAAATGGAAGGAGAACAGATTGCCACCAGGGATGGTGGAAGGAAAGGGAGAAGGGTGTGATTATACAGGGGCAGCACAGGGGGGTCCTTGTGGTGAAGAACAATTCTGTGTCACACGTGTGGTGGCCACGCAGCGCATCTGCATGTGGGAGAAGATGGGATGGGACACAGCTGCAATGGCAGTTCCTGGATTTGATCCTGTCTTATGCAAGGTGCGGCCAGGGGCAGAAACTGGGTGAAGGGTACACAGAAATTCTACTTACTATTTTTGTAACTTCCTGCAAATGTATGATTGTTTCGAAATGATTGTTTCTTAAAAAGATCACAAACATTCTCCAAATGTCCATAAACACCTTAAGACACGGTGGGCTTTGGGTCTTAATTTTCTTCGAAAGAGTTATTTCCCTTAAGATCATTTAAAATAGTTGCACCCCCTGCCCGTCAGCCAGCTCGCCAGCCACACAAATCTCAGAGAGATCTTGTCACATCCTTCAATCACATGACCTCATTTTAAAGTTGATTCCAGGTACACTCAGTCTCTCTTTTCCCTGACGAGCCCTAGTGAGCTGACACGGACCTTCTGAAATTCCCACTGATCCATGCCCAAGGCCTTTGCTTGCCAGCTGTGTCCTAGCTATGTGGAAGCTGTAGTTTCAACCTTGGAATCCTTTGATTTGAATAGATAGTTCTGCTTTCCACGTTTTAGTACTGAAAGTAACAAGACTTTACATAGGTGCAATAGTGATGTTCTCTTGGTCCCCACCTGTGCTGCTGAGCACGTGGAATGGCCGAGAGTCACAAAGGGGCAGGCGTTGGACCGATCTGACTCACCAAGAGGAGAGGTGACACAGCTACAGGTGTATTTTCTCATCACATGACAAGACAGAAAGCCTGCTTAGACTTTTGTGACATCACCCAGAGGTGTGGGTGTGCTTTCTTTCCCGCGGGGTTTATCAGCCTCGCATCAGTCCCTGGCTTGCTGCCACGGGTCACCCAGCCTTAATCCTGCTTCGAGCACCAGAACCTGCTGGGATGTTGCTCTCTGGCTCGGAGGGTCAGGCACATACCTTTCATCTGCACGAAGTCCAGCTGGTGAATGGACTGTAGCAAAGAACTGTTGTCCAGGCTCAAGTCGAAGTCCGTGGTCATCCGGGGAGTGAGCGTGCCTTTCCCCCACTGATCCTCAGTCAGGTGCACTCTCCTGATGAGTGCGTCGGAAATCTAAACACAGCAAAGAGCACACAGCCTAAGAAAACGATGCCACACTTGGAACACAGGCCATGTCTCCACCATACCCCGGCTCCAAGGAGCCCGGGCCAGTGTGGAAGAGGTGGAGCTTGCTTCTTGTGACTACAGTGACTGTCATTTATCATGCTCATCTGGACACTGTTGAGTTGGGGAGGAGGCACTATAAACACCAGGTATCCTGCAGGTGGAGCCCTGGCGGTATAGTGGCTTACACTGTGGACCGAAAACCATAAGGCCGGCAGTTCAAAACCATGAGTTGCTCCTCAGGAGAAAAATGAGGCGTTCCATATAGAGCAGCGGTTCTCAACCTGTGGGTCACGACCGCTTTGGGTCACCTGATTCATAACAGTAGCAAAATTACAATGAAGTAGCACCAAAAATCAGTTTATTGTTGGGGGGGGGGTCACCACAACATGAGGAACTGTATTAAAGGGCCACGGCATTAGGAAGGTTGAGAACCACTGATATAGATTTATAGCCTTGGAAACCCAAAGGGGCTTCGTCCTCCAGGGCCCCTCTGAGTTGAAACTGAGTCTTTATGGTTTTCCCTCAAGTTGATTTTGACTTGTGGTGGCCCTGTGTGTAGAGAGTAGAACTGTGCACCCCTGGGGTTTTCCAGGCTGTAATCTTTGGAAGTAGATCTTCCAGGCCTTTCTTCTGAGGCACCACCTGGTGGGTTCAAGCCATTAACCTTTCAATTAGGAGTTGAGCACTTAACCATTTACACCACTCAGGGACTTGATTTAATAGACCAACTCAAATGGTTGGCCAGACTATTTATGACTGATCAACAAAAGCCACCACTTCGAGAGGAGGTTCTGTTGGCCATTTGTTCGTCCTGCCAGCAACCCCAAGAATCTCATTTGCAGTGTGGGCATCCTGTAAAACTTGGATATGAGCTTTATGCAATAGTTTAGAGAAGCTGCATATGATAGTCTGCAAAGTGGAATGCTCCAACGGTTTAGGCTCACCATCTTCGTGTGGTTATCACTTTATCCTTTGGTAGGAAAATTTCCCATTTCACTTCTTATATTCAGCCTCCCTCTATCTCTTTGCCAGTTTAGTAAAATGTGAGTTGGTGGAGAGCTAGGTGTTCCTTAACAAAAGGTCCCTAATCACTGGGATTAAAACTTAAAGCTGAACTGGCTTACATCAGAGCGTCTACTAAATCAATTCACACCAAGGAACTGAGGAAACAGGCAGGACGAATGTCATCATCGACATGACATCCCTGACTTTCGGGCAGCCGCCTCGCGTGCTTTTAGTTAGACCTTTTCAGCTGGCAAAACGGTCCAGGATATACTCGTGGGAAAGCCCCTACTTCTTCTGGAAGGCAATAAAACTCTACTTTATAAAAACTGACAAGGAATTATGTTTCGTGATTAAACATAAGAAAACAAGAACGCCCTGCATTCTCAGTCTTGTAGCACCTGGTGGCAGGGATTTCCAGGAGGTCAGGGGAACTCAGCAGATCCCCTGAGCAGATGGAAATGAGGAGGTTTCATTTGGGACCCAGGCCCAGCCTGAGTCTTTGGGAGCCTATCCGAGGCATCCTAGACTCCATCCCCTGAGGCACTTGGAATTGAAACGAGTTGACACTGACCTGCAAAAAGCCACTGGGGTCATTCTCCTTGATCACCTCCAGGCAGTACTCCATGAGACCGGTGGTCTGGCGCAATTTCACTGTGCAATGAGAGATCTGATCTCTAACCACCTAGGATGGATGGAAACAGAACCATTGAAAATGACAGAGAAGCCATGCTGTCAACCTGGAGCTTTGGAAAGTTTCTTCAAACCTGACTCCAACAGCTGTCCTGTGGTGTCACTATGTTAACGAGACTCTTGTGTGGCAATGTCTGCAGTCAACAGAGAAGCTGGATTATGACGCTTCAAAGAAATTGGGAACAAGATCCACCTGAAGAGATTGCAGATGTTGAAACCCGTATTGATTTTTTATGTTTCTGACGATACTGGCTAGAATCAAATCCCTAACCCCCCTCACTCTCCTCTTTTCTGGGACGGGACTCTAGTGTGAGTTGCTCTCTTGGGAGAGAAGCCGTGGAGACCTGCAAAGGCGCTGTCGCTCCCCAAGGTGCTGAGCTCAGTGTGATGCCCACCATCTCCTACCTGTACCCACTCACTTCTAAGTGCAGAAAGCCATTGCACTTGGACTCACTCATTTTGATGGAGGCGGGAGGCTGAGGTAGAATTTACCGAACAATGAGATAATGACAAATACACGTTGGCAAGGGGTCGTAGAAGGAAATTTGGAGACAACTCACTTAGCGTCCCTGCCTCCTCTGAAAGGGGATTTAAAGGCGAATCTCTTTGCCAAGTGGTTCTGCTTACACCTGGAAAGGGATCTCGGCATCTAGAGCTTCTCCCCCCAGGAGCTCCTTTGTCTCCTGTCAAAGCGCACGACTGTCCTCAGAAAGGCTCCTTCTTGAGCGTGGTCTTCTGGGCCGGAGAAACTCGGCTCTGGCCCAGACCCTGAGCAGGTTTTGGAAGCAGAGCAGGAAGTAGGGCCTTTCCAGAAATCTTAATCCCTCATGCCTTGAGGTTTGCACTGCTTTGCCAGAGGCCCCAAAGAGATCTGTTAGCCTAGATTGTATGAATAATAGCTAGAAGGGCTTTTAATGCTAAGCCTTTTCGCTAATAAAACTTGTTTTCTTCTCCTCCTTTTAATTTTGATTGTATGTTTATTTTCCATGAAAGATGATGATACCAAAACTGAAAAACAATTGTAAAACAGATGGACAAAAGCAATCAATTTCGCCACCCCAAGGCAAAATGTTAAGGCGCTCTGGTGCTGCAGTGGTGACCCACTCCATGGCTAGCAGCAAGCTCAGTGGTTGGCGCCTGCCCACGCTTCCCATTGTGGGAGAAAGCCGTAGCAGCCTGCTCTGTAAAGATCACAGTGGAGGAAGCTTGTTCTACCCTGTTCGGTACGGTCACTAGGATTGGAATCCACTAGAAGGCCGCGGGCTTTCTTTTTTGTTTAGTGCAAATTTTAAAAGCACTTTGATCTTTCCTTTTAGATTTTTCCTGGTGGCGTAGTGGGCTGCTAACTGCAAGGTCAGTAGTTCAAAACCACCAGCAATTCTTTGGGTGGGGGGTTGGGGCGCAGAATGAGGCTGGGTGCTCCCCTAAAAGTTTATAGTCTCACAAATCCAAAAGGGGGGCAGCTCTACTCTGTCCGAAAGGGTTGCTTTGAGTGACAATCAACTTGATGGCAGTAGCTTTTTTGAAGTTTTTTATACTGATTTATAAGAAACCCTTCTAGCTGCTGTGATAGTACGTAACCTTTACACTCTGCACACACTCATCTTGCAAATACTTCCCACATTTCCACCATCAATACATGTGACTGGATACATGTGTTGAGTGTCACATGTCCCATTGAGTAGCTAGGTCATAAGTAACCATTCCTGTTCACCTATTATTGGACATTAATGTTCCTACTGATTTGTTGACAACTACCTCTTTATTGTTGGTTTTTTACAGATGCTTTGTTAATTCTTTTTTACTTTTAATAAACATTATTTTTATTTTACTCTATTATTTTAATGATTTACTTTTAATAAAAATTAAAATGATGAATAAGATGTAGAGATTAGAATCCCTCTATCAGGATAGATGAAAGAGAGCAGCTTTGATGTAAGATGATGTGTTTTGTGATTTTTAGTGGGGAAGTAATCACATTTAAATTCACAGGTTGATTTATTTTTCTTTGTCATTCACTGTGTTTTTGACAACCCACTACCTCCATCTGTTGGTCTAGGCTCAAGGAATGCAAATTCTTTCATTAAAAAAAAATGTATAAAGTAAACAAGAAAGTTAGGCTTTGCCTCTTGAGGTGGTTGGGTGAGATAGTTAAAGTTTATTGTGCCAACCTGGTCGATAAACACATGTGAGGTTAATTGAAGGGTGGAGAGATAAATGGCTGGGTGAGCCTGGCCTTTCTATTTCTCAGGTCTCTTGCTTTCTGATGGTCAGAGCAGGGTGCAGCTGCCTTAGCCAGTTAACTGTTTTTACTTGCAAGGCTCACATCCTGCAAGACATCCCTGAGCAGAAGCCACATGGACCTACCCAGATGCAGCCCTGGGTGCTGGTACAGCCGTATGGAGACCCCTGGCAGCACTGAGATGCTTACACGCTCACTGATTTGGCTTTCCTCCTGCAGTCGGCATCATTCCGTGTGTTTTGTGAGATGGAGGAGGACTTTGTGGATTGGTGTTAGACATATGGGTTAATGGGTTAATGTTGGACTTGTGGGCTTGGGCAGCACTGGGTTGGGATGTTTTCTTGATGTGCACTTATCCTTTATATGAAACTCTCTCTTATATACATATGAGTTTCTGTGGATTTGATTCTCTAACGTACCCAGACTAACACAGTAGGGGGAATCATAAGTAAAACATTTAAAGATGCAAGACAGATAGAGCGAATAGGCTTCTCCTCGCTGCTGCTTAAGGCGTAACTCAGCTGCTCCCAGAAGACATCGTTGTGTTCAATGCTGCCATGTGGCAGAAACCTCGGCCGTCACTATTCATTATCCCACGGACGGTGCCGAAAGTCTGAATAACTAGCACGTTCCAGCTAGAAATCTTGTGAACAAAAGAGACTGCACTGTTGTGTTTATTTTTCAGAGGATGCAGTTCAATGGTAATTTTATGAGCTAAGTGTGTTGACATGTATACATTCTTCAGGCCTGATAAAATTCAACTTCTATAAATTTTTCTCTTGTCCTCAGTGATGGAAGAGCTGTCTGAGGGCTGGGCTTTCAGCTCACTCTTAGGAAGTCTCACTGTGGCACTGCCAAAGGGTTAGACAGGTTCTGCTTTGGTGCCTGTCTCCACAGCTCAAGCTTCCTGAAGGGCTTAATATTCTTGAGTTCCTGGCTCTCAGTTCTCTTGCTACTATTGATTTTGGCCCATCTTTTTAGAGTTTAATGAGTCATTCCACACTGAACCCAATAACCTATAACAAAAACCATTGGGATGCTGATTGCCAGGATGACACTTCAAACCTGTCGCTCTAACAGGGAAAGATAAGGCTACTTGTTCCTGTAAAGATTTACAGTCTTGGAAACCAAAATAGTGCTGCCCTGTCCCAATGGATCGTGCAGCCAGAGCGACCTCGAAGGCGGCGGGTTTGTTGTGTGGTTCTGCACAGCTGGTTTCTACTCAGCAATTCCAGGCACAACAGAATGACATGCCACCTGGTCCCGTGCCAGCCTCACAGTCACTGCTACATTTGAGCTCATGCTTGCAGCCAATCCATCTTTATTTGCTGCTCCCCTACTGTACCGAGCATGATGTCCTTCTCCAGGGACACGGGTCCCTCCTGATAACATGTGGAAAAGTATATGAGATAAAGTCTCACCATCCTCATTTCTTTCTTTCTTTTTCATTTAAATCATTTTATTGGGGGCTTGTACAACTCTTATCACAATCGATATATACATCCATTGTGTCAAGCACATTTGTACATCTGTTGCCATCATCATTCTCAAAACATTTTCTTTCTACCTGAACCCTTGGCATCAGCTCCTCATTTCTCCCCTCCCTCCCTACTCCCCCCTCCCTCGTGAACCCTTGATAATTTATAAATTATTGTTATTTTATCATATCTTACAATGCCTGACATCTCCCTTCACCCACTTTTCTGTTGTCCATCCCCCAGGCAGGAGGTTATATGTAGATCCTTGTAATAGGTTTCCCCTTTGCCCTCCACCTTCCCTCTTCCCTCCTGGTATCGCCACTCTCACCATTGGTCCTGAGGGGTTTATCTGGCCTGGATTCCCTGTGTTTCCAGTTGTTATCTGCACCAGTGTACATCCTCTGGTCTAACCAGGTTTGTAATGTAGAATTGGGATCATCATAGTGGGAAGGGGGGGGGGAGAAAGCATTTACGAACTAGAGGAAAGTTGTGTGTTTCATCAATGCTACACTGCACCCTGACTGACTTGTCTCCTCCCTGCTACCCCTCTGCAAAGGGATGTCCAGTTGTCTACAGATGGGCCTTGGGTCCCCACCCCGCACTCCCCCTCATTCAGGATATGATTTTTTTGTTCTTTGGTGCTTGATACCTGATCCCTTTGACACCTCATGATCACACAGGCAGGTGTACTTCTTCCATGTGGGCTTTGTTGCTTCTCAGCTAAATGGTCGCTTGTTTACCTTCAAGTCTTTAAGACTCCAGGCACTGTATCTTTTGATAGCTGGGTACCATCAGCTTTCTTCAGTACACTTGCTTATGCACACATTTGTCTTCAGCAATCGTGTCGGGAAGGTGAGCATCCTGGAATTCCCATTTAATAGAACAAAGTGTTCTTGTATTGAGGGAGTATTTGAGTGGAGGCCCAATGCCCTATAAATATATGCACATAGATCTAGTTCCCTATCATCATATATAAATATATTTACATATGTAAATACCTGTATTTAGGCCTCTATATATGCCCTTTGCCTCCTAGTTCTTTCCTCTATTTCCTTTTACTTTCCTCTTGTCCCAGTATCATGCTCAGCCTTCATTTGGGTTTCAGCATTTCCTCTCGGTTACATTGCCCTTGATCACTCCCTATCGGCCTCCCACCTCCTCCTTGCACTGGTTTTGAGTCACTGTTGTTCCCTTGTCCCTGGGTTGGTTAACACCACTTCCTTTCTCCCACCTCCCCCTCTCCCATGTCCCCCCGGAACCATCGGTCCCGTT